ACACACACACACACACACACACACACATATATATATATATATATCACTCACATCAGGTGAAGCTTGCTGAACAAGAATGACAAAATACATTATTATAAACCTAATGAATTACAATTCGACGACTCATTGTATGCCTGACAAAAATTACATCGATAATGGTGTAATGATATACTGTACATCTAGAACATGTTACTTCAACACTTTTAATGGGGAGCTCTATATGTATTAATAGATACATCAACAAAGTTCTGATACACTGATCGTCTCGTACGTTCGTTTCCCTGTGGTGGACAGAGCACAAATAGCCCATTCTGTGGCTTTGCGCTGAAACAAATACATCTCTTAACATTAAAAACATCAAACTTTGATGATATACTTTGTATATGGTAATCGTTAAAACAAACACATTGTGATGATGTATTCTTTACATCTGGTAAAAAAAAAAGCAAAAACATATTTCTCTTTTTTTGGGGGGGGGGGGAGAATTATCATATCAGCAGTTTTTCACTGAAAAACAACCAAATAACGATGATTCGTCGATGTAAGCTATATCTACTGTAACCTGTAGTCACATCAACAATGCTTAGCTCACGTACGGTACCTACTGCAACCACTAGTCACGTCAACAATGTTTAGCTGATATAAGCTGTCTATTGTAAGCAGCAGTCACATCGACAACGTTTCGCTGGCCCAAAGTGAAATACTGCGAGTGACAGTCTGATCAGTAATGATTCAAGCGTGGTGGCGGTTGTCCGTGAGCGAGAAATAGACACATGGTCAAACTTGGCTAAACGAAGCTCAGATGAAAAACCAAGCTCGTAAAGTTTCCTAAACACAAAATACTATAATGAGTTTAAACATAGTCTTAGAAGAATATTTTCACGAAAGCAATAATTTTAAGTAAACATTTAACTTAGTTCATAACAATATAATGTTAAAGTTATTGTAACTGACTGAACTAATTTAAATATTCATTATTATCAATTACTAAAAAGTCTATAACACTAGATAACGAATTACAGGGTCTGCCAAGACTTTTCCATTAAATATTGGGTTACAGAAACTTTTGAAGAAAAAAGTATTTCACTGAAAACTTTGCTACAAGCCTAAGAAGGTTGCTTCTATGGTTTAAAATTCGTTTATAAGACATGCAATACTGTGACGAAGGGTGTTTTTATGGTTCAAATTCGTTTATAAGATATGCAATACGGTGACGAAGGGTGTTTTTATGGTTCAAATTCGTTTATAAGACATGCAATACGGTGACGAAGGGTGTTTTTATGGTTCAAATTCGTTTATAAGACATGCAATACGGTGACGAAGGGTGCTTCTATGGTTAAAATTCGTTTATAAGATATGCAATACGGTGACGAAGGGTGCTTCTATGGTTAAAATTCGTTTATAAGACATGCAATACGGTGACGAAGGGTGTTTTTATGGTTAAAATTCGTTTATAAGACATGCAATACGGTGACGAAGGGTGTTTTTATGGTTAAAATTCGTTTATAAGACATGCAATACGGTGACGAAGGGTGCTTCTATGGTTAAAATTCATTTATATGGCAAACAATACTGTGTTACGATTAAGATTAAAGCGGGTGTTTCCAATTAAATGAGTTAAAGAAAAATGATGTTGTTATCAAAAATATTTGTGACAAACTAAGAAATTTAGTTGCTAGCTTAAAAATACTGAGTAATCAGATGAGGGGGGGAAGTATTCCCAGTTAAACTATGTAGTTACATAAATAAACAAAGATGTCTCCATATAAAACGTTTGTGACTGAACTAAGATACTATATTACAAAACAATGAACATGTTTCTACAGTGGGTTCTACTGTGGATTTTGAAGAAAACATTTATAGATTAGTACACTATTAATATATTTAGCAACTCTTGAAAGAAGAACACCTGCATTAACAACACCACAAACGGACTTTCACTTCCTCTATTTTTAACAATGAACGATGGAAAATAGTAACTCGCAAACTACCAATAACATTATGTTCGTTTCAGGTGGTTTTTCGTGGTTTACTTACTTGTTACAGTTTTTGGGCAACTCTTTGTTAACCAGATAGTATGCATGATCCAGTTATACGACAGCTTACATGATAAGACAGCTTAAGATCAGCATTTCTGCGAAAAGAGCACAAACGCAAATAAATGTAAAAGATAAATCGCGGTCTTTCCTATTCCCCCCGCTTTAATTACCCATAATTTTACCTGCTATGTTAGGGTGGGAACAGTCATCTACTCTTAAATTTTTTGCTACTCTTCTGTAGGGAATAACAACAAAAATACGGGCTTCGACACCACTACTAAATAATTAACACAGGGGAAAAACCAAGTACAACATAAGAGTAGCAGTAGTAGGCTATGGCTATAATAACATCACTCAACTGAAACTGCACTATATACATGACTGCTATACTTCCCAGGGTTTAAGGCGACACTGTTTGGATTAATGGATGGAGGAGTTTGGGGCTGGAAATGGGCGTGACTTTTCCCGTTAGAGTGTGATACTTCACATTTTATCTGACATATTATAAACATTCTTTAAACGCACTGAAGATGAAAAGATAAAAACCCTCTCTCTCTCCTAAGAAGGAATGGGTCCCGTTAGAAGGTATACAGCAGTATAAAGCTTTAGATATTTTGCGAAA